CACTCTCACTCTCACTCTCACTCTCACTCTCACTCTCACTCTCACTCTCACTCTCACTCTCACTCTCACTCTCACTCACACTCACACTCACACTCACACTCACACTCACACTCACACTCACACACACTCACACACACACAAACACACACACACACACAAACACACACACACACACAAACACACACACACACACACACATACATCTCCGAATTCTCAGAGCATGAGCTGTCAAGATGTAGAACGGCAGAATGTGGGTAGCGATAGAATGCAAGATGGGCGTAGTAGGGTCAAGCCTGATCTAGGGGCGGAGGGGATCGTCCTGTGGAAAGCATGCGGCCTGCCAGGGCCAGAACATGTGTGGAGGAGGCCATATGTTCAGTCGAGCGGCCATATGTCTTGTATCATCGGGGCTATCCTCCAACAAGGGTATAATTACTTCAATTGCTGTACGGGCAGGGAGCTGTAACGCGACGCTCAGGCCCGAATGCCACATAGGAGGCATCTGTGCTGTAGCTACATTTGGTAACAACAGCTCATGCCTTCTTTGCTCGCGTGCTTCGTTTCACTCGCTGCATTGTCTGCTTCTCGGAGGACTACCGAAAGCACACGGCAGATCTTAACCAGAAGCTGTTTTTCGCCACTGCATCCATGGAATCGCAGCATGTGCAGCAGCTCGGATTTAAAGATACTTTGGCAGGCCCATGGCAACTGTGGGTTGCAAAGAAGTGATCAAGTTGCCATGTTAAGTCACGCAACATATCTGCAGCCTCAGTTGGTCGTTAAGGCATCCAGTGTAGCGAGTCTTTCTGCTCCAGCCTCCACCAGGCTAGCCGCACAAGAGAAGGAATTGAAAGAGACACGGGAGTCCGAGGCCTGCAGACTTTTCGGCTGAAAGGCCAATAGGAGCTAACAAGAAGTTACAGACGAAGTTGGCCTTGTCCTTGAAGGCCAAGCTGCAATTCGAGTTGCGGCGGGCGCTGAAAGAAGAGGAGAAAGAGAGCTGACCTCTCGGAGTAGAGCTCTTAAGCGCCCTGCCGTGCATGCAAGGAGCACATGGGTGGCCATGCGGACTTCGTGGCCACGCAGATGGCGCGCCGGGATGTTACGTCTGTTCCTCTTGCTCCTGCTGTCGCGTCTGACTTTGCATGGCTAATGGTTTAATGAAATGAGGAAATGCACAGCTGGGGCCGCATGGGTTCACTCAAGCATCCGGGGGACAGGAGAAAAAGAAGACGACAAGCATCATCATCATCATCAGTATCATCATCATCATCATCATACTTTTACTGCTGCTGGCGATGATGTTGATGATGATAATGATGATGCTGATGAGGGTGGTGATGGCGGGTGGTGGTGGTGGTGGTGGTGGCGGCGGCGGCGGCGGCGGCGGCGTGGAGGCGCCCATGACATTGATGCAGGTGCTGTTGTTGTTGATGTATTTGATGTCGATGACCATCACCTGCAGCAGACTGAAGAAGCAACAGCAGCAGCCGCAGCGGCAGCAGAATCATCATCATCACCACCAGCCCCTTCCATCCCCGTCTGCTCCCGTTTCCCCTCCTCCCTTTGTTCCTGACCCTTCTTTGCCTTCTGTTACTCCCTTTCCACATACAGTACCCTGTCAAGGGAACTCCGGCGTAATATTCGCAGCAAGTGGACGGAAACTGTGCTGCGCTGAATTGTCAATATTGTCAGAACTACTTGTGCACTTCTGCAGTTGCAACCCTCACAGCTGAATAGGTTCTGCAACTGAGATGGGGAAATGTCGTATCCAAGCCTTCGCATCTTCCGTGTCCCGACATATCCAGTGGGATCTTGTGCTCTTGCTCGCCTGGCCCTTTCTTGGTCCAGCACTCCAGCCATCTGGGTTGCTCCAGTCGTTAGAGTACCGTTAGAGCCACGTCACAAAAGTCTCGGCCGTAGCATCACGTCATGATCCCGTAACTGCTCGCAGTTGCAGGAGCTGGGTCAGGCAAAGCAATCGCTCCATGACCGAAGAGGTGAGCTTGAGGCGAAGCATTGTGTCCACTCCGTCTACACTTGTCAACCCAGTGCTCTGCAACTTCTGTTCCTGCATGCAGGTGGCTAAGAAGCAGCTGCAGTCTCTGCGACATGAAGTGCACAGCTTGCGTGCTGCTGAGGCTAGAGCTGGAAACGCACGCAGTCAGGTCGAGTCATTTGCAAATCCCGCAGGAGCACAGCGAGAGCGGTGCGAACCATCTTCAATGCAAGGTCGGCGCATGTGGAGGGCTTTGCAAGGGAGGCTCTTCATCCGAGAATGTGCGGTTGTTTCGATTGCAGCATCTTTGTCACCTGGTCGCGTACTTGATCCAAATCGGGAGTACAGGCCTCGAGGCCACATGTTGCATTTGAGTCGAGACGCCTGCAGCACCAGCTCATGCGAGGCCAGTCTTCTGGTCGTGTTGTGCAGCAGTTCCTCCATATTTGCATGGATGGTGCTTGTCTGCGAGGACTGTGCTTGGCTGGAGCAGGCCTGCCAGGCACAGATCTGTGCAGCTACTGCCAGGCGCCGTGACGCTGAGGCCAGCGTTGAAGGTGGCAGGCCACGCTAGATCTGCTAGAAGTAGTATGATGTAGTCAGACCTTTCCTTTTTTATTCACAGAGGGAATGTGTTGCTGTGCTTGTTGCAGGATAGTTGATGCTCGCATGTCAAACTCCTAGGCCCTAGGCTTTGCAATCGTGATGCCGGTCGCATCCTGGGATCTGTCCGGGTCTCTCACAAGACCAGGACATCGCTTGATGCCTCACCCCTCCCTGATACAGTGGCAAGCTCGCACTTCGCGGAGGCTGCACTCCAGAAGTCGTTGGACCAGCACCAGGCACGACCAGCGTTTGGCATCACCGGCTTGCAGGCTATAGCCTCAATCACAAGACTCCGGTTGCAGGAGTTGAGATGGGAACTGCTGGAAGAACGGAACCGGCGACCGGGACGATTCAGCCGGGAATTGATACAGTACTCATCGAGCTTTTTGGGGCTTGGCCAGCCCACAGCCCGAGGCCACAGCTTCAGAGTCCGTGCTCCGCTGGTTCCCGCATCCTAGGCATGAGGAGCTCAAAGAGGTGCACAGCATACGATTGGCGCAGGCAGCTGTAGCTGCCGGAAAGCGGCCGGAAAGCGGAGCAAGTCGGAGTTCGGAGGAAATTCCAGAAACTGAAAGCCAGAACTTGCAGACCCGTGACGGCCCTTGACATTGTCCAGCTTATCCACTGGCAGGCTGCTCAAGAGGTGGCCTTGCTGCGGCACAAAGTGGAGCGACAGAAGCAGGAGCTTGTAGTGACGACGCATGCCACTGTCGCTATCCTTGCCACCATGGTTTGATCCTAGCGGCCGGAGGAGACTCGGTGGCGACATCCTGGAAAGCGTGAGGGAACGATTGAGCTACTCGACTCGCCCTGGGCTAGGCTAGTCACTAGCCAAATTCAAACTCAGACCAGACCGTGCACTTGCCACGCCCAGCTGCCTGGTTTGGGCCATAGCAATCCCACACTTATCTTCAGGACTCCCCAGCTCGACACGCCTCGCCGGCACAAAGAGATGCTGGTCCGGTTAGAGGACTGGGCTGAAGAATGCCATCTAGCAGGACTTAGGACGTCTTGCTTGAATTGCGGGCGGGGCCGGCTGCGAACAAGACAGAACTTATGTCAGCGCTATGTCATATACTCTACAGTCACGAACTGAATAGCTTCAGTTCGCAGGAGCTACTTCCAGGCATACAGCACCCCAAGTCTCGGACAGACCACGTGTACCCAAAGTTGGCCGCTTGGTTTTTATTCAGTCAGTCCGTGATGTATTCTCAAGCAGCGACAGACTGTCACAGACTGGAGCCGTTTCTCGTGTACTTGGTGAGCTTCAGTATCTGCTGGAAGAACCACGCCCCTGTTGAAAGACAGCGGTATGACCCGTTATGTTTTATGGCGGAGTGTAGCAAGTATGAGCAACTGTTTTGGCGCCAAGGTGCCGCAACGTTCTCCCAAGATCGTGAAGTAAGACGTCTGCGACTACAAACAAGCCCTTCTAGCTGGTGGAATGTCTGGGCATGAAGATGCGAGCAGTGGGTTGCAGGTTGCTAGCGCCAGTACTATCGGATCCCTCCCAGCTGCTGCCCCGAAGGGGACCAGCTCGGCGATGCCATGTCGTGGTCAAGCCACATCATGGCCTTATTGCTGCTCTACGAAGTAGTTACACGGAAGCAATTCGGTCTTTACGCTTGCTGAACCCAGGATGTCCCGAGGACCTTCCGTTCCGCTCAGAAGCAGCCCTGAAACTTCACATGAGGAAGTAACTTCGTACCTAGAGCACGCAGCAGTTGCCAGATCGTGGGTCACGGGCCCACGCGCGAAAAAGAATCGCGCCGTTGAAGGGTCGGTCGCGCCAAATCAGGCATCAGATTGTGTCACTAAGTCAGGCTTTCCCGAATCAAAGCGGCCAAGTCGGGACCTTGCCCAAGGGCCTGACCGACTGTAGGTTCTACGGTGCTACCGAGATTCTACCGTGACAGGGTCAAAAACAGGCGGTTCAGAAAACGGCATCGGTGCCGCGTGTTGCAGTGAAGTTCTGTGCTCGAGAAGATCAGCGCCAAGCCTCCAAATCCAGATTCTAGATGCGTGTGCGAAACACGACAGGGAGCTGTGCAACTCATATCTGCTTGAACGCAGGAAGTGGAAGGCCGATCTTTCGTGCAGGAGTTCGTCGTCGAGTCGGACAGGCTAGCTGCTCTGCTCGGCTTCCGCTTTCTGTCATGCCAGAGATAGCAGCTTCGCAGCTTCTTTACCCAGGCGGGCGTTTGATGCATCACCTGTTAAGAGGTCTTGCCAGCTTGCATCAGCTTGCATTGCCCTGTCACCGAGATCGAACACGCCCAGGCACAGGATGCAGGACATTGTGGATGCAGCCCTGCAGGGCCAAGAAACGGAGCATTTCGCAGGGGCCCCATGGAGTTGACCGGTGCAGCAACCAAGCTCACAGACGAAGTGGACGGTATATACCATGCATGATCATGCATTTTGCAGAGAGTCTAATCTAATGCACCACTCGTGCACAGAAAGCTCAGGAGATCGTGATCTGCTCCAAGGACGACCAGGAGTTGGCTCGCTCAGCTTTGAAGCACTCTTGAAGCTTTCGACGGTTGGCATGTATTTACGTTTCAGATCGAGCGGAGTCTTAGCACAGGCATGTGATCCTGCTCAATGCGACACCACGGCGTGGCAGGCTTGGAGCTTGCTGTAGGCCCGAACGTGCTCCCCTCACGCACTCAGCAATGCCAGCAACTCGTCTGACTTTTCGATGTCGGTCTGCGGGGGCGTCTTCGTAGCTGTGTAGTGTTTCTTGAAGTCGGAAGCTGGAAGCTTGGAACTTGACTTCCTCATAGCCCTGTATAATGTCTGAATAGAAGGCGGCTCAGTCCGATAATCTGAACTGAGCTGCGAGATTTCTTAACGCCGGCCAGCTTGCTTTGGCACAGGGGGGGAGAGGAGATAGCATTAGAGAGCAGTTGCAAGCAGAATTAAGTTCAGCACACAAGATGGATCACACGTGCGTACTGCGCACTCTAACACTGCCCTCACCAAGTCAACTCAAAGCTCATATACCCTTATTTGTGCAAGGAGGCAAGCATAGGCCATCGAAGTAGGGGTGCCTTCAGGGTTTGCCCGCGGCGGAGCGGATGGACGCCGCAAATGCTCGGGCGAAAGCGCGAGGCTGTCTTTCGTGTGTCTGCGTGTCTTATCGAACCTCTCAATGGCCCCGAGATCACATGGGACGTCCGTCGCCTTTAAGTCGTGAGAACAAGTTGAGAACACGTGAAGACTTGACGAGTAGATCTCGTCAGGCTGCGAACGCCAAGACCGGCTGTAAGCGCAGGCAGGCGATTCGATGTGCTGGGTAGGATAGCCTTTCCAGTTCGCATAGGGCCACGGCTACGGCGTAGAAGCGAGTCAGGCAAGGCAGTACGGTGTTTTGCCACACTTACCGTCCTCACCCGGCCTATGTGGTAGCTGTCTGCACTTGCGTGGCTCGCCGTAGGATACAGGAGCCATCTGGCAAGACACAAGTCGTGATGAAACATGATGAAACAGTCGAAGGACTAAAGAGGGGAAGGCAGCGCTCTTCAATGCTCTTCTACGACATGTTTTTGCATTTTCCTAGATGCCTCAGCCCGGGTACTGTAGCGAGTTGCTGAGGGCACCACCGATGGCTGTCCACAGGTGGCAGCAAGAGATCGACGGGAAAGATGCTGACGACGAGGTCATCACCGCCGAGGTACTCTCGCTTGGCCGTTGCTTTGTCAAGCTTCATCGAGCTCCTCACCGTAGCCGATGCCAGAACCCTTGACTTAACGATGACTTCTGCTCTCCGCCGCATCGGTTTACGCTTACTCAAGGAGGCCTTGCAGTAAACCTATACTGCTATAACTTCGCTGCGAGCGGTATAGGCCAGCACTCGGGAAAGGTAGGAGCTTTTGTTCAGGACATGCTGCAGAATCATGTTTCACGTTCGCCTTCACTTTCTCGTGGGTCCCGCGGTGAGCAGTCTTTTGTGGCAGAGCCATGGCGGAGTGGGGTGACGAGGTGTGGCAAGACGACGAAGAGGCTTCCGCTGTGCATTCGGTTTCATATAAAAATAGTGCCGCTCCATTCGGGGCAGTCAGCAAGAATCTGCGTTCTTCGCCAGGTTCGCGTATTGCATGGTGAACTATCCGAGACATGGAAATCCTTCGACGACTGCACTGGTCCGTGGAAGTTCCCGGCTGGTCTGATGTCGTGCCGCGGCTTAGTTTGCCAGCTTTTCCTTTGGGTTGTGTGCAGTTGTGGCATGAGCACGAGGGAGTCCAGCAAGTCTAAATCCAAGGTATCTTCAAGAGCAGGGGTTCCGATGCCCAACTCCAATCCAGACGAACGCCTGGCCAGTGCTGTGCAAGGGCGCTGACTGCATCGGCGTGGCCAAAACCGGATCGGGCAAAACCTTGGGCTACCTTCTCCCTGGCTACATCAAAGTCAAACGGCATGAGGCTGAAGAGAGGACTTATGACAAAGGCCCTGGCATGTTGGTCTTGGCCCCCACCCGAGAGCTTTGCCAGCAAATCTATGAAGAGTCCGGCACTCAGACATCCCTCGACTTGCAGTGATAGATTTTCAGCTGAAGATGATAAAGGCTCTCCTGCACCTCTTCCATTCCACCAAGCAAGCTTCCTTTACATTCCCTCCCTACTGAGCAAAATCCACAGTAAGAGCTACATGTGCATACACAAGTACAGATAGATGAATACAGATCCCAAGTATTTGCGCCTACATGTATGCCAACAATGCGATGGTACATGCACGCATTCGCATCTGCACCCTTACAGGCCTGCACATGCGCACATGTACAAATCAATGCATGCGCTCATGGACTCTTTACACGCTTGTTTCTTTCGGGGCCGCCGAATGACGGAGTAAGTGAGGTGGAGTCGACCACACTGATGGTCAGTCTCTGCCGGCTCTCCGCAAAAATGGTCCATCAATACTCACAGTCTGAACATGAACAAACTTTCAGCACCAACTATCACCAATTGTTCCTCTGCAAACCCCCCACTCGCTTGCCCATGGGTTCGATGTTCCAACAAGCGAAGGTCAGAAAAGTTCGGTAAGCCAGCGGATGTCGTGACGGCATGCCTCTACGGCGGGGCTCCACAGCAACCTCAACTACAAGCACTACGCCATGAGCTGAGTACACAGCATGCGAGACAGTCCGTCCCGCAGAAAGCTTGCGGCAAATGTTCGTGGACGAACCAAGGAGAGAAGCCACAATGTGTGGCAGCAACACCTGGCCGATTGAACGACTTTCTGAAGAGAGGCGGCGAGAATCATTGAATCGTCATGTGCGCGAAGTCTCCCAAAATCACTGCTAACTTTCAAGCTGTCCGGCAGGCATGTTGGACCTCGAGCTTTGCGATTACCTCGTTCTGGATGAAGCCGACAGAATGTTGGACATGGGTTTTGAGCCTCAGATCAAGGAGACTGCGCAATGGCTCCCTTCTGAGCGCCAAACAGCTTTGTTCACAGCGACCTGGCCTTCAGAGGTACAGGACCTAGCATGGTCTTTGACGAAGGATCCAGTTCACATACAAGTGGGAACAACTGATGCTCAAACGGCAAATGCTGACATCCGCCAGCACATAGTCACAGTCCACTCCGAACAGGACAAAATCACATTCCTGGAGGAGACTTTCTTCAAAATGTTGCAGGAGAAAGCGGGCTCAGGACTGATATTCACGAAGACTAAGAAGACTGCAGCGTGGCTTTATGACACGCTGGGGAAGAATGGAGCACCAATCGTTTGCTTGCACGGAGACATGGACCAGACACAGAGAGACTGGTCGTTGAAGAATTTCAAAGAGGGCAAGGCGCGTGTCCTCGTCGCTACCGATGTAGCGCAGCGTGGCCTCGACATACGAAATGTGCAGATCGTCGTCAACTATGATGCGCCGGCCAACATTCAGGATTATGTGCATCGGATCGGTCGTACAGGACGCGCAGGTGAGAAAGGAGATTCTTACACGTGTTTGTTTGCCTCAGATTGGCACCTGGCGAGCCAGATCATCAAAGTCTTCAAGAAGACCGGCCAAGAAGTCCCAAAAGACCTCACGGACATAGCAGAAGGAAACGCAGGCTATGGCGGGAGCAGCACACTCGATGGTACATGGGGAGGGAAGTATGCCGATTCCACTTGGGATGATAACAAGTCTTGGGACAACAAGTATCCCGAGTCCACGTCCTATGAGAGTTATGAGTCTCCAGATGCACAAGAGGAGGGCGCACAAGAGGAGAGCGCACAGGAGGAGGCGCAGGCCGGTGAGGCTACAGGATATACTTATCACTGGTGAAAGGACTGCTGTTTTGACAAGTCAAGCCGAAATCCCATTTAAGGCGGAAAACCGACTACCCTTGGAGTTTGGGGGGCGCTCCACTAGAAAGCGGTTTGCAGCTGCTGTGCCGCAATGTGCTGGACAAAAAGATTTGCTCGTACAGACAGGTTGCGGCTCTGAAGGTCTCTCTTCGGCTGCAATTTTGCGTAGCGGCGTAGTTCAGCTTCTAGGTCCAGATGATGGCAAGGCACTTCGGAGAACCTCACACTTTTTAGAGATTAAGCCCGAGAGCCAAAGACTGCACGAGAGGTTATAACTCATCAGCGGACGAATTGCTCGCCAGGAGCTCGACGAGTGGCGCCAGCGTGAGGAGTGTCGGCACTCATCTCTCATGCCATGACTTCCCTAGCAGAGTGCAGAAATTCGGTTGTCGGTCAGAGTGACCATAGTGATCCGTTCGATTCCCCAGTCACGAAGCTTCCTTCTTAGGACGAGGAGGAAGAGGAGGATGCCCAGACTCAGGCTCGGCATCGCGGTGGCGCGGGAGGCATAGGTTCAGGCTGAAAGCTGGAAGAGCATGGGCTGCATTCTCGATCTGTAACTTCATCACAACATTCTATCTGTCTATCTACATGCTCCCGCCTTGCTTTCACTGGCTGTGATCCATTCTTGTTGGCAGTGCGAAGCTCCCGGTGAAAATGCGGTTTGGTCGAGCATGCCACCTGTTCCAAACTGTAGATATCGTGGCAACGTGAACTGTTGAACTCGCCCCTTGTTTGTTACAAGGCTGCACCGTGTTTCGCTTCTCGGTTGCCGCTTAGCCTCAGACTCTTCGAGCAGCAGGTGTCAAGCCAGAACAGCAAAGCCACGTGATCATCATGTCTGTTCCCTACTTCGCGACTCGCACAGCCATGTAGGAGGCAAAAATCATGAAAATACATGTGACAAGGGAGGCGGAGAACTATGAATTCCGCAAACAGGGTGTGGATTCTTGTGCAATCTCGTGTACGCGGCTACACAGAGCTCTGCTGAAATTCCTGTCTGGTGGGACACGGACACTTTAAAAAGTAATTCAACGGTCCAGGCACCACATACGGCCCAGCGACAAAGTGTCGAAGAGGAGCGGGAATTGTGGATTCTGACTTTGACAGGAGCTAGACGCCAGCCGCATGCCTGATGGAATGTACACCGCTGCTGAGAGTCACAACCCGGAGAGAGAAGGAAGCGAGAAGTCGCAGCCGCTCGCGCTCGCGCTCGCCATCACTTTCTGACCTGGTGCCGCCGTCCGCTTTGACATGCCAAGCGTCAGACTTCTTGGAGCATCTTGGAGCCATGCCGCAATTGTTTCAGGAAGCCGCTCTTGATG